ATAATTCTTTAATTTTAATTTTAATCTTTATTAAAATATTAAATATATTTATCAAGTAACTATAAAATTTGATGCTATTGCTCTATCTAATTGATTAACAAAACAATCTTAAAATATACAGTACACAATAAAAAATAACGAAAGACCAAGACCTTTGGCTGGCGCTCACATGCCAATTGCAGACACAATAAAAAATGACGAAGGACCAAGACTTTTGGCTGGGCACTCACATGCCAATTATATACACAATAGCACCGACACTCAACACCAATCATACAATCAATAAATAGTCTTATGCACCCATACATACAATCAATAATTACATACACTAGCACAACTGATCACACACTCGAGACATAATTAAGGAGTCATCTACCTTATTCATATATATGCTGCAAGAACCAGATCCATATGGATGAAAGTTTTTGGTTTCTTGCACTTTCAAAACCGAGGGAAGATTGTAAATATTGTCTGTAAGATGCTTGAAACCCTCGTACCCAAACCCTGGCAATATTGAATCATCAAATATCTTAAAAGAATCACTTAATGTATTCGATCTTTGTCACCGTGGAATAATTGACAATTAGTTAGGCAATGATGAAACAGTTGCGACCATGTGAACCGCTTTACCAAAGAAGGCTTAACTTGAACCGGGTCTTGTTAAGGCTTGGGTGAGGTAGTCGGAACTTTTAATTCTACTATCGTCGTAAACTCTATTAAAAAGCGATTTGATGGTTACGTGTTTCATTTAAATGGATGAAATGTTTATTGGATCTGAGAACTAGTTGCTGACAATTAACTCACTAATTTTTTAATAATTTTTTTTATAAAAAAAAAAAAATAAAGCTTAACTTTTATGCCCGGATATTATATGGAATGATGTCATTGAGCATTACACTGCACTTTGGAACAAAGGGATGGGAAGCTTAATGCACATTGATTTCAACACACCTTGGGCGTTCATCCCCACTTTCCAACTTCACTTTTTTCCAATCATTCTTACCATTAAGTGTCATCTACAGTAGAAAGTTCTACTTTATGATAAACGTTAATCCGTCCCCATTCCACACAAAAAAAACAGCGACCAATTAAAGAAAATCAGAAAAAGTAAACGGACCAGGATTTCTTCAACTCACACCCCTTTTTCCATCTCTCTCTCCTCAGTCGCCCTCCTCCTATCTGCCACTGCCACGGCGCCCGTCCCCCCTTAATAACAACTCCACTGACATCATACTCATCGACTTTGGTGGCTTCAAACACTATACATATCATATATTGGATGACCGGAACTGTGATGTATAAATATTCTCCCTCAAGTCTTCAACTACCAAAACACATCATAATGAGGTGTAAATTGATAAACAAAATTATTTTTTACTGTTAGCCATGCCACCATTTATAAAAGGTCTTTCCTACTCGTACCTTAATATTTTTTAATATTACACATAAAAATTGGCCCTTAGTAAATTAAGTCGATTAAATAATTCAAATAGCAATATTAGCAATGATGGTAAAATTAAAATTAATTTTTATATTTTTATATAATTAAATATTAAAAAATACATTAATTATACCTTGATGATGCAAATAAAAAAATATTTATAAAAAGACATTATTTTAAAGTTTGAAAAAACAATAAACACCTTTAATGATAGTCTCCAGTTTCAGAAGATAAAAACACTCTTAATGAATTAGCTAGTGAAATTTACTAAAGATATTTTTCACACCGGACTAATATTTTTAAATGCAATTTGTCCTTAAAAAAAAATTCACATAGATAAAAGTACACACAATCTTTTCTATAAGGAAGAAAAAACATATAACATAGTTAGTCCTTTTTCCAAAATAAAACAACAAATATGTGCAAATGGGTAAAGTGAGTCGTGAATTAGTTTGGAACCAATCTTAAAAGTATTGAGACATCATTACAATTTAACAAACACCTCAAAACATCATAAAAAAGACAAAGAAAAAGAAAAAAAGAAAAAAAAAACCCAACAACTAATAGCACCTGAAAACATGAGATACAGTATTTTTTATGTACAACTTTTCTACTACATTTGAGCATAGCTATTCTCTTCCTTAATTGTCGTCACCAAATCGCAGACTGGTTGTGTCTTTCTCCAAGATCTTGGTTTTGATGCTCAATTCACTCACAGTAATGCCACATGATGAAGTATCACTCATCGGCTGTTGAGATTTCGCCACATTCTCGGTTGAACCACTAAAGAACTCATCGTCGGTGGTGGTCGCATCACTGCCGGTCATTTTCTTATCTGTGGTTTCTTGAAGTTGCAACGTGAACTCTAGGGCCCACACAATATCGCTCATGGTGGGTCGTTCCATTCCGTTATCACGTACACATTTTTCTGCAACCTCACCAAACTTTTGCAAGGCCATCGGTGCAATCTGACCCGTCAAACATGGGTCGATAATCTCATCTAGGGTTCCTTTTAGGTAACAAAGGCGGGCCCAAGGGGCCAGGCTCACTTTCTCCTTTGATAGGCCTGGGATCACCGGCGGCCTAGCACACAACACCTCAAACAAGACCACGCCGAAGGAGTACACATCAGATTTCTCCGTCAAATGCTGTCGGCGATAATATTCCGGGTCTAAATACCCGATACTACCCTTCACCACAGTGCTGACGTGGGTCTGCGACGCACTAGTAGGACCTAGTTTCGACAAACCAAAATCTGACACCTTGGCCATGTAATTCTCATCCAACAATATATTTGATGATTTCACGTCACGATGGATGATACAGTTCTTCGTCTCTTTATGGAGATAGTGCAACCCACGTGCCGCCCCTATGCAAATCTCCAGCCGCCGTTTCCATGATAATGGGGGATTCTCGGTTCGGTAGAGATGATCTTGGAGTGTGCCACGTGGCATGTACTCATACACCAGTATCATCTCACCTTGATCATCACAATATCCGATCAAAGAAACAAGATGCATGTGTCGAAGCTTCGAAAGCATGGAAATTTCCGTGTGGAACTCATGGGCCCCTTGCATTGATGAAGACTTTAACCTTTTGATTGCAACAGTGGTGGTCTCACCATCTATAATCCCTTTGTAAACATTACCAAATCCACCGATTCCGATCAGAAACTGATCGTTGAAATCTTGAGTGGCGGCTTTGATTTGGGCGATTGAGAAGTGACGGCAAAGATCAGAAGGTAGCAGGGGAGAGCTTTTTATCGTAGACAACTTTGATGTGTCCTTCAGTTTTCTTCGTCTCTGGAAAACAAAAAAACTCAAGAGGAGAGCAAACAAAGCAAAACCACCAAGAATAGCTCCGATAATTGGCAAAATTGTTGATGTTACTTTACTCTTCGGGCTTCCGGGCCTCTTGTCCAAATTCGGAGGTGCAGGACTAAAAATCGGATCAGGATTGGGTCCAGCTAGGTTACCCCCAGATAGATTCAATTTGAAAATCTCTAAACCGTTCAAAAAGGCATCAGCGATTTTTTTTGGTTGAGGGTGCAGCGCTAGCCAAAGGTCCTTTCCTTTGGTATTGTTTTCAGCCATAACAACATAGTCTTCGTACATAGGATGTCCACTGCCACCGGCCAATTTAAACACGTCTATGCCTGCTTGCGCAGTTTGATTGTTGATGAATATGTCGAAAACATGTTGATCATCGCCTGTGACCCGCATCAGAATCTCACAGAAATGAAGCCTGACGAGGTAGTAGAACCCTGCATCAACCGGGAACTTCCAGGTCATGTTGGATTTTAAATTCAATGAAGTATTGTTGCCCATCATACGCGAAGTAGTGTAAAGTTCCTTGGGTGCGGTGTACTCCGGTGTGCTTTCTGTAAATTGAATCGGCTGGGATTTGTTCAAAATTGGAACAGTCCAATGTGATCCGACAAGATAATCTCCATCTTGACTCCAGGTTCGGTACATTCCTGCATCGTTCACATTCTCAATGCCGTTTCCGCCAACGTTTAGCCGATGAAGAGTCTCAAGTGAGGTGGTGTTATTATCCAAAGGGAAGGATTGGCCAACGACTACAGTCACCAACGGGATTGGCTTATAGTTTAAGTAGAGGCCGCTGGGCATGGAAACGATTTCGATGCCGTTAATGAAAGCGAAGGAGTTCGGAGAAGGGATGAAAGTTACATTAAGCATCTCTTTGTCCCGCACAGTAACAAGGAATTCTTTGATCAAGTAGGTCGCATGCTCGGTCAGATGCATATGCGCACTGAAATTTTTCAAGAGGGTGTAGATATTGGCAGTGACGGAGAAGAAGGAAGCGGTCATGTTAAAATTGTCGTATTCGTACGGGTAGAAGTAGAGACGAAGGAATTTTGGGCCGGAGGAGACAGGAAAGCTGTAGGTGAATTCAGATTTAATGATGCGAGCAGAGAGGAATGGAACTGCGGGAACCGAAGAGCCTTGGTGAGAGGCAATGGAAGGAATTGATGACTTTTGATCGTTGAAGGAGGAATACCTAGAGCTGATATCGGTATCCCAGTTGCGACCGTCCGATTCTGATATGGTGTTGGACTGTGCTCCACAGTCGAGAAGGATGATGTCAGTTGCATTGTAGGGGAAGGTGGCGGTGGTCGGGTGGAGGAGATGGAGGAGTGAGATGAAGAAGATGGTGAGAATTAGCATTTTGGGATTCAATAATACTTGAGGAAATCCGGTCACCTTTTCACGAATTAGAAGGGTGTTTTCTAATTGCAGCCTTCTTATAAAATTGATCAGAGGAAGAAAAAAGACTTGTCTACAATAGATGAGCAACTTTCAATGGTGAAACCAATAGAAACGAGAGTATGATGCCCCTAATTAAATAGGCAATTTAATAGTATTGGAGATTACAGAATGAAAAATAGGCAATTTTAATTAGCCCCTAATTAAAAATAATTTCTTTGATCAATACCTTAATTAAACTTTAGTTGGCCAATTATTTATGATTAATTAATTTGATTTGATTGAAATAATCTCTTTTCCCTTCCACTCTCATCTTCTTTTTTCAAAACAAACAAGCCCCAAGAGTTTGGCTTCCCGATTTAATTGTTAGGAAAAAAATTTATTATAGCTATTACTACATTCATTCCGTAATACTAGTTTCCTTTTTAAACTTTTTTTTCAAAAATTAAAATTTATATTTTTACTTATATTACTCTTTAAAAAATAAAAAATAAAAAAAGATTGTGATTATAAGATGATAATAAAAGTTGGACTTCTCTAATATGGGCTAAGGTTTAATTTGATAATATTATTTGTAATTGCAATTGAAAGGTTTTTTAGTTCTTTAATTAACATCCAAAAATATATAAAATATATTTTATATATTTAATATTTATTTTAATTTATATTTTATATATTTTTAAATTAAAAAAATAAAAACCAAAATGTAAAATATGAAAAAGTATTATGGAATAAAATTTAAGAATGTAATTGTTATATTTTTTTATATTAATTGATATTTAAAAATAAAAATTGACACTTTTTAATTTATGAAATAATTAAAATAATTCACATGATGTTAGTGATAAATTAATGTTGGTAAGATTAAAAACACAGTCAAGTTTGGTGTTTTGCTTAAGGTTTTTTTTATATGTACAGTTAAGAATGTAATTAATACATATTTTATTCATTAAGTTATATAAAAAAATAAATTTTAATTTTAATTTTAATAATTAATCAATTAGGTTAATATATATGGTTTTTATGCTAAAACTAATATCAATATTTTTGTTTTTCATATGATTTAATAGCAAAAAAATATATTAATTACATATTTAACCTATATCTTAAAGCATAATCACAAATTAAAAAATCTTTACTTAAAATAAGAAAAAAAATTTTATCTACATTAAAAAATAACAATTTTTCAGAGACAGAAGAGCACAATATTACTAAAAGCCTTAATCAAACAGTTTAATTTTATTGTTTATTTATTTTAATTATTTATTTAATTATAAATTTTTTATTTTTTATTTTTAAATATTATAAATAAATATAAATATTATTATTAAATTTTTAATATAAAAAAATAACAATTA